ATCCTGCAATTTTTAAATTTTATTTTGAGACAGGGTCTCACTAAATTGCTCAGGCTGGCCTCAAATTCTCAATCCTCTTTCCTCAACCTCTCATGTAGTTGGGATTATAGGAATACACCACTATGCCCAGCACAAATGATATCTTTTTTTCCTCAATGGCATAAAAAACAACATCATATTTCTCAATCAGTGGTATATTAGGTTTCATTGGCTTATGCTGCAGTAACAAGTCTTTGGAAAAATCTCAGACACTTAAAAGAACAAAGGTTTATATTTCTTGCTCAAGTCAGCTAAGGATCTATGTGACTTTCCAGAGCAACTATTCTCCATATGATAATTTGGTCCTGCACATTCATGCCAACATGTGCTTCTGCAGTCACTATTCTAGAGGAAGATAGAGCCCCGGGGACCCTCTCCAGCAATTACATGTTCCATTGCAGTAGTACATTATGTCTCTTATACAGCCAATCTGTTGTCTAGAATTGGTCATATGAATTGATCAATTTCTAGGGATCTGAGAAGTTTAATGCTTCCTAATTTCATGAAGAAGAAAAGAACCAGAGATGAATATTTAATGTCTGGTAATTAGGATCCGTTGACATAAATACAGGGATCTAGTTTATCCAGAACCAGTACACAGTAATTGGGCTGTGATTTGTTATATTCTATCTAGATCATTCTTTCAAAAGTGATGCTCATGCTTAATTGCAAACAACAAAATTCTAGAATCAATTTCAAAAAAAATAGAGATGGCAGAACTATAATGCAAGTGTTTCAACTCAGAGTCTATAGATGAACCCTAAGGATCTGGAACCTCCCAAAGTTACATATAAAACTTTCAATGCATTTTTTTCCCTGGGGTTTGGATACATATTTTCATCAGATTCTCATTTGGGTTTTATGATTTATCTATTCATTGATCCAACAAATGTGTATTGAGGGATCAGGCACTGTTCTGGGTGCTTGAGGTCTAGCAGCAAATATGAGAGAGAAGTTCCCAAATATAAGTTTATAGCCTGGAAAGTAAACAAACGAGTAACAAGATCTTAGATCCAGACAGGCCACATGAGAGGACAATGTGGTAGAGTATAGGCTAGAATGGTCATAAAAGACCCCTTAAGGAAAGCTCTGATCTGAAATAGGAAGGAGGAGAAGGAACTAGTCACACAGACACCTTGAAACCCAAGAAAACAGTGTTCCCATTAGAATTTTAAAGGAACTATGGACTGGATGTACTTAGCAGGTATGAAAACTTGAAAGGTATTTGCGGACAGTGATAGAAGGCATAGTGAAAGAGAATTCAGACAGGTTATATGAAGCCTCTGGGCCATGATAAAAGATCAGAATTTCATTTTAAGGCACCAAGGGCAAATGCACTGTAGAAAAATATTCTGCTTTGCATAGGAAGGTCCAAGTTTCTCTCTGGCTCCACATTTTGTATATGTTCATCATCTGACCATCATAATCTGTCATTAAACACCAGGTTAACCCAGATGGGCACAACTCAAGTGGGCTACCCTCCTATCCTTCCTACAGCAAGACCCATTTCATCTCTTTTGCCATGCCAGATAAACACTATGTCCTTCCCAGAAGAATGGGGAGACGGCTCTTTCCTTTCATCACAAGGAGGAGACTCGAGTCTCTTTGCAGGAGAATGAGGGATTTCATTCTTTTTTCTTAAATTAATTTTATTGGTACATTTTAGTTACACCATATAATGACAGTCATCATTAGAGATTTATACCTTTACATAATATATATTGATTCTTATTTTTCCCCATTCCCCTGCCCACCCTTCAACCCCTCCACCCCTATTTACAAAGACTTTGTTTCCATTTTTTCATTTTCTCATATTTAGCCCTTTCCCTTCTTTCCTTTCTCCTACCCCTCCCACTTCCCCTTCCCCTTTGCACATTTTCTTCCTATTTCACATTATCTATTGCACATTTTGATCCTTATTTACACTTTCAATTTCTCACACCAGAGAAACTATACAGTATTTACACATGTGTGTCCTATTTATTTCACTCAAGAGTATGGCCTCAATGTGCATCCATTTAGCTATAAATAAAAAATATGGAACACTTCACAAATTTGCATGTCATCCTTGAGCAGGGGTCATGCTAATCTTTTCCGTATCATTGCAATTTTAGTATATGTGCTGCCAAAGCGAGCACAGGGACTTTGTTCTTTGCTAGGGAGGCCTTGAACATGTCACTTTGTTTTGTTTCGTTCCTTTTGGTACTGGGGATTGAACTCTGGACCTTGTGCTTGCGAGGCAGGTGGCGGCACCATTGAGCCAAATCCCCAGCCCTGAACACATCATTTTACCATACCTTTCATTTCATTTGTGAAATGGGAATAGTAATTTACATTTTGGAATGTTGTCGTGATGATCACATAATATATATTACAGTGACATGAAAATAAAACAGCACGGGTTTCTGTATACAAAAGCACATTATTTGCTCTTCTGAGAAATATTATTATTTTGCTACAACCTTGGGTTTATATATACAAATGAATACATATATGTACCAATGTAAGGAAACCTGACACATGAGGAATAATTGCCTGCATTATAAAAATGTTCTTCACTTTAAAATTAAGTTTGCTTTGAATAGTATTTTGTTAAAATTAATAAGTTAGTTCACAAAACTGAGTCTTTCAAATACACTTTCAGCAATGTTTCAGCCCTGGAGAAGTAGTTCAGTGGTAAGTGCTTGCCTAACATGTGCAAAGCTCTGGACTGAAGCAGTACCACACACACACATACACACACACACACCTTCCACTTGAACCCACTGAGGTAAGTATACCAGTACCTATAAATTTAAGGAAAAAGTCACTCACATTGTAATTTTTATTCTTATCCTTCAAAGCCTAGTATTTATTTACTCTAAACATCTCTATGCTCAAAAAATATTAAGTTTAGCTATCAATGTGTATATCTGAATATAATAGCTTTTTCTGTATTAAGTCAATGGAAATAAATGGAGACCACACAAATTAGACCAAACTATTTACTTAGAGGGAGTCAGCCACCATCACTTGCATTTGGCAGAGATTCAAAGCCAAGCATGGGAGTGGGAAAGCTTCATAGTGTTAAAAAAAAAAAATGAAAGGTTGCAGATATGTTCTGACTGGAGGCTGTTGACAGGAAAAGCTGGAGGACTAACCAAAAGGCCAGCTGAGCAGAAAGAAGCAGGGTATTCTACACAATTGGTTTGGGAAGCGTATTTGGCTTTCTCTGGTTGGTCCTAGGGCTGGGGATTTAGCTCAGTGGTTTCACCACCTGCTGTGCAAGCGGAAGGACCAGAGTTCGATCCCTGGTACCAAAAAAAAAAATCTCTGGTTGGTCCTGAGTTGGGGGGATTGGTGACAAAGAACTAGAAAGTTGGCAGGTATTGATCAAGTCCTAACAATCCTCGTGGCAGCCAGAGATGCTGGTTTGACTTCTGTGGCTTGTTGTTGCAGGTTTTGGCTCAGAGTTCTATTGTCATTTGTGGTCTGGCCACTGTCTGTTTGTTTAGTCAATCTCTCAAGTCATGAAGTAGAAAATAATTTATGTCCAACAATTAAAGAGAAACTAGATCAAGGTGTAAGGCACCTTTCATTTTGGTGAGATAATGTTTTGATATATTAAGAAGTATTTTTGTTTGTTTGTACTGCTAATTCCTTTCTATTCAATACATTCTTTTATTCAAATTAGATTTTGGCATGTATTGCCTTGAGGTAAGGATATTATAAAAGAAATTCACAGAGAATGAGTTGCTCATGACTTTTCTGCTTTAAAGTGGACTTGTGAAACCCAAAGCAGAAACAATAGTTTGACAGAAGACCTTTTCTTTGATTATGAAAAGCCTAGATTTTGAGTATCAAGGCCCAATGAAGGATTCAGATTATAAAGTTCATTCAATAAAAAGTAGATTTGAAAAAAATAAATGATAAGCCAAAAGGGCATTTTCTCAATCCAGAAAGCAATCACAAGTTTATGCAGTAGATGTGCAAAGACGTTAGAAAGAATGCCTCTATCTAGTCCCAACCCCGTCACCATGGTGGTGGGGCTGGGAGGAGACACAACTGGAACACTTGCTAGGTTTAAGGGACTGTGAAGACAAAGGACAGAGAGAAGGGGTAACTCATACCATCCTTTCAAGATGGAACCCAGAACAGCAGCAAGCCTTATGGAATATACCAGTCCAACAGGGCACAGACAGGCACATGGGGTAGGCATAGTGGCAGAAGGTCTTGGGGTGGCTATAAGTACTCTCCACTCATCATAATGTGTGCATTTCATATGGGATTGAGAGTGGAACAGAGGGCTCTGAGCAACTACATACTTGGACTAGACCTGCACCCAAAATTTTCCGTAAGAAACTACGTGAGGACTTCCATCTCAGAGGATGCCAGCTAAAGTGATGACATGGCTAAAGGGTGAATACCAGCCACCCTCTTAAACCTATGTAGATGTCAGCCTATTGAGGAAAGCATAAGGAATGGGCATAAGAGAAGTCCAAATCAACCATGATGGTCTGAAACTTTCATTTTTGCCTCCTTATATATAGTAATTTTGCAAAAAGGAGCTTGAGCTCAGTTATAAAAAAATAAAGTTTACATTTAGCAAATGCCTGAGATTTTTACATTATAGCTTATAGCTCACATATATATATACTGATGACTCAAATTTGCTTTTAAAAATGGAGTTTTCTGTCTCCTTTAGTAAATTTGGGGGTACTTTCTGCCTATTTATTATATGCATAGTATTGGCCAAATGAAAATAGTTTGTGGCCCCAAAGAAATATCATACTAAGACCAGTTTCAACACAGAATACTTTTCAGTTAACATTCTGAGTAATATAAACCTTAATTTAGTATCTGAGTTATCTTGAATTGTCATTGCCTTCTTTAATAATAGATTTCCATTGATGAAATTAAAACTTTTCACTCTATTTGATTTTTACAAACATGAATGTAGTCTTACAATAGTATCACTTCCTTTAGATATATAATCAAATAGTATAAAAGATATTAAGCCTCTTATAATCATGTTGAAGAATAACATCAATAATCAGGTATTGAATTCCTTCTAGGACCAAGAATTTTACACATGTTATATCATTTATTTCTCACAACCATCCTTGAGAATGTTATTGTCCCCATTTTACACCTTAGAAAAGTAAGGCTGACCAAAGAGTCTCACTAGGAAGTGGCAAATTTAGACAAAATGTCCCAGTTTTCCAATACCCCCACAAATGAGACATGCTTTGACCTATACTACATTGCTGCTTCTCTCTGCTCAGCCCTTTAACACTTTTGAAGGGAAATTGAGCATGCAGAGATGGTAAATAATTATAATTCTTCTTTATTCTAATTTCCACATGGCTGTTATGGAAATTAAAACAGCCATAACAAAATACTCAACCTTTCAAGAGTAACATACTACATTTTAATATCCTCCAGCCAAATATGGTATCAGTAGATGGTTACAGAGGATTGATATCTATGTTTTGACCTACCTCCTTTGAGAAACATTACATGTAATAAAAAATATTTTTCTATCACAGAAAATTTGTCTCTAATATGCTGTTGGGCCAAAAGTTGTCTCTTTATTACATCCCAGAGGGAGGAAGTTGAATGGAAAAGATTCTTCAGCTTAACTATGAGAAGGTATTATACATTTCAACAGAAGAAAAAAAATCCATCAAAAGCTAAGTTGATAAATTAAGGATTCCATAATAAGTCTTGGGATATAGGTTGTACATTTGGTTTTTTAAAAATTGCACTAATGCAGCTAAATCTGTATACCAGATGCTGAAGTTGGACTTTTGCTTCAACCAGTTTTGTCCTTCCACCTGCAACTGATCTCCTTTTGAAGGCCTGGGAGAGCTGGTAGGATGGATGGCCAGAAGAGAAGAAATCCAGGCAATGACCCAAGTTGCATCCCTGAAGAAAAATCTCAGAATATACAGGATAGGAAAGGCGCTGAAGTCACAAACTGGATGAAAAAGCAAAACAAAACAAAAACTCAGCCTGGGGAAGTACAACACTGAACACAGAAAATAAAATGTACCAGGATGTTCTTTTCATGTATTATGCAGTGGTGGCCTGAACACATTCAGAGTTACACAGAATTTTAGTAATAACAAAAGATACTATTTATTAAGTTCTTCTTTATGCATCATGGATTGTGCTAAATATTTTCTAGAGATAACTTTATTCAATCCTTATAACAGCTTTGTGATACAGTTATTAGTTATAGTCCCATTTTACAAATGAGTACATAGAGGATTAAGGAGATTATTCCTTTGCTGGAGGCTATGCACCTAAGTGGCCCAACAACCTGACTCCAGATTCTAGAGGTCTCTCTATTCCTTTGCAGCACTGATGGCATCTGTCAGGGTTCTTGCTTAATAATAATAAACAATAATGAACTCTGTCTAAAACAAAATAAAACAAAACACTAGAAGAATCCCACTAATGGATGCATAGCTGAAGGAACTGAAGTCAGTATGTTGAAAAGTCACCTGCACTCTTATGTTTATTGTAGTAATATTCATAATAGCCAAGACATGGAATCAATCTAGGTGTCCATCCACTGCTGAATGAATAAATGAAATGTGTAATAATTTATACAATGGAATATCATTCAGCCATAAAAGAGTGAACATTACGTTAAGTGAAATAAGTCAGACATAGAAAGACAAATACTACATATTCTCATTTGTATGTGGAAGCTAAAACATTGATCTCAAAGAAGTAGAGATAGAATAATAGTTACCAGAATCCAGAAAGGGTATGAAGAAGAGGAATGGAGAGGATGATTAACAAGTTTAGGGGTATAGTTGGTTAGGAAGGATAACTTCTAATGTTCTATAGCATAGCAGGATGACTGTGGTTGATGACAATTAACTGAACATTTAAAAATAGCTGACAGACAGCCAGGCATGGTGGCACATACCTGTAATCCCTGCACTCTGTGAGGCAGGGGTAGAAGGATCACAAGTTTAAAACCTGTCTGGGTGACTTAGTGACTTAGTGAAACCCTGTACCAAAATAAATTTTAAAATGTTAAAACAAAGTGCTAGGGATATAGCTCAGTGTAAAGACTGTGGCTTCAATCATCAGTACTGGAAAAAAAAAAAAAAAAGCTAGCAGAGAGGATTCTGAAGGTTTCCAACACAAAAAAGTAATAAATGTCTGAGATGACAGATATGCCAATTACCCTGATCTGATCATTACTAACTATATAAAATGTGTTTAAATGTCACACTGTACCCCATTCATATGTAGAATTACTATGTGTAAAATATATATTACTATACATATAAATATTTTTTAATTGGAAGAAAGGAGATGGGGAGCTCCTAGATCTGAGAAAGCTGGGAGAGCAGGCTTGGAAAACAGGTAGGAGTTGAGGGGCTCGGGAAAACTCAGTCTAAAGTGTTGCTGTCTGTGCTTCATTCATCTTCCACTTCCTAGAAACCCCCACTAGGCACCATGCTGCCCTATGCAGCTCTTCCAGGTATTCTTCCTTAACTCTGGACCTGGGCGGGAGGGTCTCCTGCCTGGTGTCAGGGACACAGCTCAATAGGCCAGGGTGTGGACGAATGAGATTCAAACCTTGTGGCTTCCACAATAGAAGGCAAGGAAGTCCTATATCCCAACAAGACCAGACCAAATGAGTAATCCCCCCAAAGGTGGGCACCCAAAGGAGGATTACAGTGTCTTCCCAGACTATCCACTGTAGCCACCTTGTAGCAGGAAATCATTCCCATTAGGAAAGTAAATGTAGGTCTGTGATATAATTTTGAGAAGTCAGGCAAAGGTTGAATTATGCAAACATTAAATATTGCAAATCAAAACCTTACTGACCTAGAAATTCATCCTAATAGATATATTTGCAATCTCTAAATGCAAGCTTTAAAAGGCAAATTTGGTAACCCATATGCTAAGCGTCAATTAATTGGGATGTTTAGGGAATAAAATGTTCTTTTTAACTTAAATTTCTAACTAGATGTGATTAAGCTTTTAAAATGACTCATGAAACTCTGTATTTCAAATCTTACCACTGTAATTCCTAATAACATATTTGTATTGTAAAGATTTTGCAGCACCCCCAAGTTATTAGTGCTACCATGAGGGATGATAAAGTGCAGTGGGTGTGGACTAGGCTGTGTACAGAATCTAGTAATATTTTGTGTGTATATTTCATTAAGCAATCTGCTGGGAGCTTGCCATTTGTTTCTCTATTAAAAATTGGGTAAAGTTGAGGAAATAAATTTTGTTCATTTTTAAAATGCATTTTATTTTGGAGCCCACTCAGTACAAGTGCACTATTAGGCTCTGTGAACAAAGACATAAGTGATAAAGTTGTTTTAAGGTGAGATAGAAATTTTAAAAATTAGATGACTAATTCTTGGGGAGGGATAGAGAGGGTGGCCATCTCAGTTGGGCCTTGGAGGATAATAAGTAGGATATTGCCAGATGAGGGAGGAAAGAAGAGGACCATTTTGAGGCAGAAAAAACAAAATGAAGAAAGATGTCAAGATATGAAAGTCACGGAGTTAAGGGAAAGACAAACAATTCAATGCACCTACTCAGATGTGCTAAAGGGCAATGAGGTCACTCCAAGGGTGGATTAGGACAGGATTGTCAGGGGATTCAAATACCACACTAACAGAACATGGATCTTTTTTTTTTTTCTCCTTCTGGTAGTTTTTTTTTTTTTTAATTTCAAGATAGGGTCTTATTACATCTCTAAGTTGCCCAGTCTGGGCTCAAATTTGCAACCTTCCTGTCTCAGCTTCCTTGAGTGGGATTACAGGCATGCACCACCACACTTGGGTAGCCACTGGATCTTTTTTAAGTACAGGAATGATAAGATCACAAATGTGCTTTAGGAAAATCAGCTAACAACAGGGAAAAGGCAAAAGGTGATACCAGAGGTAGGAAATTACCTAAGAGAGCTTGCAATAGTCCAAGAGATAAATGATTTCTTAGACAAATGCAATAATGGCTGGAAGGATTCTTTCTCTGAGAATTACCTTATAGATGGAATCCATAGGACTTTATCTGATTGGACACAGGGTGGTAGTGAAGAAATGAGAATTTAAATAATAGGGCTAATGTCATAATAACTTAGTCACTTTCATCATCACTGGGACAAAATATCTGAGACCCACAATTTAAAGGAGGAGAGGTTTATTTTGGCTTGCACTTGAAGAAGTTTCAGTCCATGGCTGGCAGGCTCAAATTCTCAGTGAGGAGTAGAGGTGGTAACCATGGTAGAAGGGCCTGGGTGGAGGAAAACTGCTCACCTCATGGTGGCCAGCAAGCAGAAAGAGAAAGGAAGAGCCCAGAGGGAGATGCACCCTTCCAGGTCAAGCACCGAGGACAGGCTTCACACCAGGCCCCACCTGACAACAGTGAGTCAGTGGATTAGTCCACTGATGACTATAGCACCCCCATGTTCCAATAACTTTCCAAACACAGGAAGCTTTTGGGGGACACCCTAGATCTAAGCCATAACAATAACCATTTCATTTTGCAAAAACAATAATAATTACACTTTTATTCACTCATTGAATAAATGGAGCAGTGATTTCGATTGATCATCTCCCATCCTAGACTTATTGAATCAGATCACCTGGAAATGAAAGTATCCATATTTTTAAGAACTCTTAAAAATATGGCTTCTAATAATTAGATAGTTTGAGAAAATGCTACACTTGAAGATGTGAAAAGGAAATGACACCCACTAACATGAGATCAGTAATGCCACATCCTCTGAAGCATGTCCTGAATCTTAACACTTCTATCTAATACCACTTTGTCCACTCTAAAACACATTTACCATTGCCAAAACAATTCCCCCCTCCCCTTCTTCCTCCTCCTCTTTTTCCTCTTGCTTCTCCTCCTCCTCTTCCTCCTTTTTTTTTTCATGAGACAAGGTCTCATTGTGTGCTGCCCAGCCTGGCCTTGAACTTGAAATCTTCCTGCCTCAGCCTCTGGAGTAGCCAGTATTACAGGGTTGTGCCACCATGCTCAGTTCAAAATAATTCTTTAAAATATGAAATAGACCAGGTACCCTTTGCTTAAAATGTTCCAGTGACTTTCTCTCATATTGTGATAGTCTTAAAATAAGCTCATAAATTATTTTATATTCTTCTCTTGAAAAGGTAGAACCCAATTCCTCTCCCTTTGATAGTAGGCTACTTATTCTTAGACTAAGAAATAAAGTGCGACAGAAATGACGGTGTGTGATGTCTGAAACATGGCCATAAAGGCACTGTGGTTTCCCTCTTGTCAGCTGTCATGTCATGAGGACACTCTAGCAACCCTCTGGAGAAATCTGTGTGACAAGGAACTGAAACGTCCTGCCAAGAGCCAACAAGGAACTAGACTTTGGCTCATAAATACATAACTAAACTATCCTAGGCGCAGCTCCTCCAGCCTCATCAGTCCTTTAGATGGCAGTAGCCCCAGCTACTATCTTTACTTAAGTGACCCAGGAGACCCTGAGGCAGAACCTCCCAAATTCTTGATCCACAGAAACAATGAGGTAATAAATATTGACTTTAAACTTCTACCTGTGGGCAGAAATTTATAAAGCAACAGTAGACAATTAATACACTTACAAGCCATGATAGCACGTGCCTGTAATCCCAACACTCAGGAGGCTAAGGCAGAGGATCACTGGGAGTTCGAGGCCAGCCTGCGCTACATAGTGAGTTCAAGGACAGCTTGAACTACACAGCAAGACCCTGTCTCAAAACAAAACAAAGTGAACACACTTAAAATATTATCCAAACTCCTTGCTATGGCCTGCCAGGCCCAATATACTCAGGATGCTGCCTAGATCACTAACTTTACCACTATTTGCTGTTCCCTAACAAGTATTTGTCACTGCTTTTGAATAGAAATAGAATCAGGAAAGTTTATCCAGTTACAGGAATCCAAGCTAATGATTACATTTCCTAGCCTCCCTCACATGTA